AAATAACCTATTGTTTGTCATAAGTGCCACTTCTTATTATAATCCTTTTATTTAAATTGGGCTTTGGAGTGTAAATCAGTGAATCATCATTTCACTCTGAAATTTTCTGGGTATTTTCCACTTTTGCTCTGGGGAACAACTTTAGACAGTGTTTATAATAAAACAAAAATTCTGTATTGTGCCATTATTAGACCTGTTGTATTTTATACACACAAATTTACCTCTCCTTTAAGGTCTTTCATCTGGCCGAAACCGGTTTGGCTCAGTGGATAGAGCGTAGGTCTGAGGACTGAAAGGTCCCAGGTTCAATTCCGGTCAGGGCATTTACTTTGGTTGCGGGCACATCCCCGGTAAGGGGTGTGCAAGAGGCAGCTGGTCAATGTTTCTCTCTCATCAACGTTTCTAGCTTTTTATCTCTCTCCTTTCCTCTCTGTAAAAATACATTTTTTTTTAAAAAAAAGGTCTTTCATCTGGTTGCACCAGGCTCACTATCCAGCTTTAACCTCTTGACCTACACTCTGTTCCAGTCAGATCAAATAACTCTACTTTTATTGAAAAGACTTTTGTATTCTGCCATGTCTACTTTTGCTTCCTGGATCTTCCCACCTGCAGTTTACCTTAATTTAATCAAATTCACACTGTGCTAAGCCTTTAATTTTCAATCAAGGTGCTGAGGAAGACTATGTTATGTAAAATTTTTCCATTTTCAGAGCTCTGGTCTTCCATGCTAGAATTGTAAATTTTAATTTAAAACTTCTTAAAATGTATATTTATTATTGAAAGTGTTACATATTTTTTTCTCTTTCCCCTCCTATTGGCCATGTCTTCTCCCATCTATCTCCTCTCCATGTCTTTTGCATGTTATTGTCCATGTTCATATTTCGTGTGTATATGCATACAATTTTTTTAATAAATCTTTATTGTTCATATTATTACAAATGTTCCTCATTTTTCCCCCCTCCATTGCTCTCCTCCATCAGATTCCCACCCCACCCTCTGCCCTTTCCCCACCCCCCATTGTCCTCATCCATAGGTTCACAGTTTATGTCCAGTCTCTTCCCACAACCCCCACTCCTCTTTTTCCCAAGAATCAACAGTCCACTCTCCTTCCATACCTCGGATTCTATTATATTCAACAGTTAATATTGTTCATCAGTTTTTTAAATTCCCTTGGTTTTTAGATTCACTTGTTGATAGTTATGTATTTGTTGTTCATAATTTTTATCTTTATCTTCTTCCTCTTCCTAAATAACCACCTTCAGCAATTCATGTAATTCTGGTTTGGTGGTGGTGAAATCCTTTATCTTTTTTTTTTATTATTATTATTGGTGAAGCTCTTTATTTGGCCTTTGATTCTGAGTGATAGCTTTGCTGGGTAGAGTATTTTTGGCTGTAGGTTCTTGCTATTCATCACCTTGAATATATCTTGCCATTCCCATCTGGCCTGCATGGTTTCCGTTGAGAAATCAGCTGAGAATTGTATGGGTGCTCCTTTATAGGTAACTATCTGCTTTTCTCTTGCTGCTTTTAATATTCTCTCTTTGTCTTTTGGTCTTGGAATTTTAATTATGATGTGTCTTGGTGTGGTCCTCTTTGGATTCCTTTTGTTTTGGGTTCTGTGAGCTTACTGGACTTGTAAGTCTATTTCTTTCACCAGGTGGGGGGAATTTTTTTTTTTTTTTGTATCTTTCTCTCTCTCATCTTCTGGGACCCCCATAATTCTGATGTTGGTTCACTTGAAGTTGTCCCAGAGGTTTCTTACATTATCTTCAATTTTCTGGATTCTCTTGCCTTCTTGCTTCTGTGGAGGAGTGTCTTCTGGCTCTTTATGTTCCAAATCTTTGACTTGATTCTTGTGATCTTCCATTCTGTTTTTAGGACTCTGTATAATATTTTTTTTATTTCAGACAATGTATTCTTTATTTCTTGTTGATCCCTTATTATTTCTTGTTGACCCCTTATTATTTCTAGATGATCCCTTCTCATATCCTCACAGGTCTTGTTTATTTTTTCGGCCTTTTCTAGGAAATTCTTGAAAAACCTTATAAACGTGGTTTTGAACTCTAAATCCATTCTCTTTTTTTCCTCCATTTCTTCTTTCTGTGACCTGTTTCCTTGTCTCAGCATTTTCGCAGCTTCCCGAGTGTTAGCCTTAAAAATCTGTGTTCAGCTTGGATGGGACGGAGTTTCAGGGTGGAGCCTACAGCCTTGGCTTCTGTCAGCCCCGCCCTATGAGGTTCCTGAGTCTCAGTGTTCCTCAGTGTCCTTCGGTACTCGCTGCAAGCACATCTGAGAGAAAGGTGCCCTCCAGTTTCCCCTGCTACCAAACAGTGTAGGCTCTCCCCCAATGAGCCCGGAACTGGGGTTCAGTTCAGTTGGAAGTGGGGTTGGAAGTGGGGTTCAGAGCAGTCTGGAGCTTTTGTCTCCTTCCTGTTATGGCAATCCAGCGACACAGTCAACTGTTCTCTGCGCGCAATGTGAACACCTCTGGGACTTCCTTTCGCAGCTCCTCTGGGTTTTCGCCTTACAACCCAGGCTCCCTCTGTATGAGCCTGGGTCCCCAGGGTCTGGCCTAGAACTGGGGTTCAGTGCAGTCGGAACTGGGGCTCAGCACAGTCCGGAGCTTTTGTCTCCTTCCCGCTAGGGCAATCTAGCAGCAGAGTCAACAGTCCGTCCTCTATGGGTGATGTGCGCGACTCTGGGACTGCCTTTCTCTGATCCCCTGAGATTCTGCCTCACAGTCCAGGCTCCCTCTGTATGAGCCTGGGTCCCCAGGGTCTGGCCCAGAACTGGGGATCAGTGCTGTCAGATCTGGGGTTCAGCACAGTCCAGAGCTCTTATCTCCTTCCTGCTAGGGAACGCCAGCCAGGCACTTAGTCTCCCCCTCCTCTCCGGCTCCCTCCTATCAGCACATGCAACGTGTCTCTTAGGCTTTTACAGCTCCTTTGATTTTCCTTCTGGTTTTCTCTTTCCTTCTCATTGTAGAATTTCCAGTCACTTGACTTTCCTGTAGTTCTGGGTATTTTATTTGTATTTTATTGAAATTGTTCTGTGAAGCTGCAGTTAGGTGTTTACCTATGCCATCATCTTGGATTCTCAAGAGTTGTCTGCATACAAGTTCTTTTGTTGATGTCTTCCCTCCCATCCTTCATTTACTACTATAGCTAAAGTTTTCAATGCTTATATATGTTATATTAATATAAGCATTATATAGATATTATCCTTGTTATATTCATTGCTATAGATGTTAGTTATGCTTTGAAATAGTCGTTATGACATTAATATTTGTCATTTTAAACTGCTTTTTAATTTTAACAACAGTGTAAATATTCAGTAGCTTCCCATAAATATTTCTTAAATACATCCCTATTTATATTAACTATGGAATATTTTATATAGTCCATGACCACCAAATATATGTAGAATAAATATGTACTAACACCATTCATTTAACATAATAGCACACCAGGTGCTGCACTAAGGTACTTTATATGTCATTTATTTCATCAATCCATTAAAAAGAAAACCCCGTGATGACAAAATTCTTTTATATATGAAAGAAGCAAAGTCACATGAAATGTCTTTGTAATTGCTAAAGCTCATATGTATATTTATTTCCATCTTCAAACTTACTTGTTTGCATGGTGAGTACATTACCTGAAATAAAGTGAAGGACTGTTAGACTCAGTGTCTGAATGAATTTCTATAGGGTAAACCCCTAAATGTCTTGCCCTAATGTACTTCCAGAGTGACCCTAAGGATGACTTGTGGATCTTTGCCCTGGCCGTGCTTCTGAGCAGCATGTTTGTCTACAACGGCCTGAGTACCATCAACCATCAGGCCCTGGAGCAGCTGCAGTATCCTTCCAGGAACCCAACCCCCATGTGTCATGGAGGCTTGGGAATGGAGATCTGGTCAATTTCTCCTTTCCTCTCACTTAGTTGCCTTTGGTAGACCAAAGGGAACCAGAGTGAAAGAGAGTGTTTATTTCTTTCTTTTAATGAGAGAGATGTGGGAATTCTGGTTAGAAAGTTTATTTTCCTTAGCAAGATCCTAGTTATGTGACAGAGCTGACAGAACTCATCAGGGCAAAGTCCACCCTTACACCAGATGGAATAGAAGATTCAGCAGAGTTTGTGAGTTTTTTCCCAGACTTTATCTGGGCCGTGTGAGATTTCTCCCTGGAGCTGGAGTTAAATGGTCTTCCTATCACAGAAGATGAATACCTGGAGAATTCCTTGAAGCTGATTCAAGGTAACAAAGCATGGCTGGGCAGTGGATGATCCAATACAGGGTGGGAGGTACTAAACATTATGTCTGGACTTGCATTTGAACTTGAGACTAGAAGTCTGCAGAAAAGGTGGCTGGGAATGAGTTGAAAAACTCTCTGGACTGGAGTTTAAGTTCACATAAGAAAAGTAGAGCCTAAAGTAGAATAAAACTATTCATAACCAATTTGTTCTTTACACATTGTAATTTAGAATCCAATTGTACAATAACTTTTAAAATGGTGGTGATAAAATCTTCTAAAAAGCAGGCACTTATGTTTATTATTTTACCTTCTGCTTTTCTGTTTTGAGGAAAACAGCTGATCAGATACTTGGTAGGCATAAAATTACAATGAAAAGCCTATCTAATTAAAAATATCTTTCATGTAATTAGATAGAATTCATCTAAAATGGGCATATAATGTCTTTATACATATATAATCTAGAAAATGATTTTATATTCTAATAAACCTGAATAAGTATATTTTGCCTTTTCAATCTATCCTTTTGTGTTTTATTTGATAATTATCAGAATATAATTTTAATTTATATATCATAGATTTTTTATGTTAAAAATGATTTTTTTTCAATTGTAGTTTAAACTCAATATCATTTTGTGTTATTTTCAAATATACATAGCATAATGGTTAGATAACACATAGTTTACAATTAGATCCCCACTATATTTCAAGTACCCACCTGGCACCATGAATAGTTATTACAATTTTAGTAAGTACTGGAGGCTTGGTGCACAGAATTCATGCACTATGGTGGTGTTTGTGGGGGAGTTGTCTCTCAGCCCAGCGTGCACCCTCTTCAATCTGGGACCAATTTATGCATTGGGCCTAAATCGACAAGTTGGACATCCCTATCAGAAACTGGGACTGCTGACTCCTAACCACTTCTCTGCCTGCCTGCCCGATTGTGCCTAACTGCTTCTGCCTGTCAGCCTAGTCACCTCATAACCACTCCCCTGCCAGCCTGGTCGCCCCCAACTCCCAATCCCCAATCTCCTCATCCTGTGCTCCTCTCTTCATGCAGGCATCAGTTTTTTTTTTTCTGTATCTATTAATCTATTTCAATTTTGTTTGTTTATTTTGCTCTTTAGAATCCACATATAAGTGAAATCGTGTGACATTTGTCTTTCTCTAACTTGTTTCACTGAGCATATAATTTTATTCTTTTTTTTATGATTGAGTAGTATCAGTATTCCATTGTGTGTACTTTATCACTACCTATTCTTTATCTACTTGTCTATTCTTGGGCACTTAGGTTACTTCCATATCCTGGCTATTGTAAATAATGCTGAAATGAATATAATTAGTGTTTTGGATTTCTTCAGATACATAACCAGGAGTAAAGTCACTGGGCCATAATATAGTTCTGTTTTAAATTCTTTTGAGAAATCTCCATTCTCTTTTCCAAAGTAACTGTACAAATATGTATACTCACCAACAGTGCCAACACATATACCATGTTGATTTATTGAGGAGAGCCATTCATACCGGCATGAGGTGATATCTCCTTCTGGTTTTAACTTGCATTTCTCTGCTGATTAGCAATGTTGAACATCTTTTCATACCTATATTAGCCATGGTATGTACTCTTTGGAGAAGTTTTTATTCAGGTCCTTAGCTCACTTTTAAATCAGATTGTTTGTTCCTATGGTGAAAAGTATAAGTACTTTATAAATTTTGGTTATTAACACCTTCTCAAATGTGTCATTGGAGAATATATTCTCCCATTCAGGTGGTTGTTTGTTTGTTTATGGCTTCCTTTGCTGGGCAAAAACTATTTAGCTTGCTGTAGTCCCATTTGTTTATTTATTTTGTTTCCCTTACCAGAGGAAAGGTATGAAAAGAAATACATTGCTAAGAAAAAATCTGAGATTTTACTTCCTTTCTTTTCTTATAGTAGTTTTATAATTTTGAGACTTACATTTAAGCCTTTAATCCATTTTGAGCTTATTGTTGTATATAGTTTAAGAAGGTCATTTAGTTTCATTTTGTGTGTGTATTTGTCTCATTTTCCCCACACCATGTATTGAATAGACTGTCTTTACCCCATTGTATGTTGTTTTGCCTCCCTTGTCATCTATTTTAAAAATATATTTTTTATTGATTTTTTTACAGATTGGAAAGGAAAGGGATAGAGAGTTAGAAACATTGATGATAGAGAAACATCGATCTGCTGCCTCCCCTACTGGGGATGTGCCTACAACCAAGGTACATGCCCGTGACTGGAGTCGAAACTGGGACCCTCGAGTCCACAGGCTGATGCTCTATCCACTTAGCCAAACCGGTTTTGGCTGTCATCTATTAATTGTGTGGGTTTATTTCTGGACTCTAGTCCGGACCCGCGGGACAACAACGGGGGCTCGCAGGAACCACCTAAGAGAATGAAACAAACAAGGAACGAGGAAAAAATGGAGGCAAGACAAGGTTCTGATCAAGCCTCAGTTTTATTCTCTGAAATGGCTGTATTTATACAGCAGAAACAAAGGGGGGCAGGAGTTGCCTATGCAGGAGGGTCTTTGGTATGGCAACACAGGATTGACTAAACAAAGGGGGGCAGGAGTTGCCTATGCAGGGGGGTCTTTGGTATGGCAACACAGGATTGACTAATTGCCAGAGGCGGTGTGACATTCCAAGGTGCAACATTCCAAGGCTGGGCTATCTAGGGGGGGAGGATCTGGAAGGGGAAGAGGCAGGAAGACAGGAGATGCTAAGCCCCAGGTTAATCTTATCTTCTGGCCAAACCCTCAGGGCACCTCATAACTTCTGCTAGAAGGAACTTAATTCTATTGTATTTCCTTAAGACTGAGTTGCTTGCCTCAACTCTGCAGGCTCCCAACAGACTCTGCCATGTTCCATTGATCTATATGTCTGTTTTTATTCCAGCACTGTGCTGTTTTGATAACCATAGCATTGCATTATAGTTTGATATCAGGTGGCTTGATACCTCTAACTTTCTGTCCTTCTTTCTCAGTATTTCTGGGACTATTAAGGGTCTTTTATGGCTTCACATACATTTTTGGATTATTTATTTTAGTGATATGAAAAACACCATTGGTATTTTGAAAGGGATTGTGTTGAATCCATAGATGCTTTGGGGCATTATTGAAATTTTAATTTTATTGTAAATCATTCTTTCTGTATCATAGGTGTTTTTTTCTTCCATTTCCACATATTTATCCATGCTATAATTTCAAAATAATAAAAATATATGAATGCGTTCTATTTACTTGGGCATGTAGGTATCTGATGAAGCCTTGAAAGAAATATCACTTCTGATTTATACATTCTTGATTTTATGTTTCTATTTATGGTTTCTCAAAACAATGAGAAATAGGCTACACAGCAAAGTTATAAGATGAAATATAGTTCTTTACCTTAAAGAATTTAGAGACTATTGGTGATATCTTAAAATTATGTTTTAGCTACATTTACTCTTCACTCTTCAGAGGTTTTTATTTTTTTTTAAGTTAATGCTGTACACTTCATTTTTAGCATCTAAACAGTTTTCCTTAAATAAATATCATGTTATTTCTAACACTGCTAAATCTGATGTTATTTCTAACACTGCCATTAAGTATTGTTTGGGCTATTCATTTTTATCCACAGCGTTTTTTCTCCATGAAATCAAATAGACCAAAAACTTATGCTTGACCCATGTTTCTGTTATTCATTCTGTAAGCGTTATAGACAATATACACAATAATCTACCATTTTTAGGTCTGATAGCAAGAACAGGTCATTGTTGTTTTTTAATCATATCGATGTCTTCAAAAGATTTCCCCCAGAGTTGTGTAACGGTAAATTTGATGTTGAAGAAGCATTTGGATGTCCATGCTAAAGGAGTTATAAACAAGTTATACAGAGAGAATATCACAAAGATTCAAAAATCCCTGTCATGGAAATCTTTAGATCCCTTGTCCTATATTTGCTCCTACTGTAATACTTGTTTTTGTTTGTTTTAATCTTTCAGGCATGAATCACAAAGCTCAAATATCTAATCTCCCCAGAGAATGCATCCGGAATTTCTTTCCAAGACGGAAGTGTTTTGTCTTTGACCAGCCAACAAATGACAAAAAACTCCTAGACAATATTGAGAAGGTTGCAGCCAACCAACTGGATCCTAACTTCAAGGAAGAAACAAAGAACTTCTGTTCTTACATCTTCACCCAAGCGAGGACCAAGACACTCAGAGAGGGAATCATGATCAATGGGAAACGTGAGTCTCCATTTCACATTTTGTGGGGCCTAATATTTTTTTAATATATTATAGGATGTGTTCTCTAGGATTTCTTTTTTATTCTCTATGGAATTATGAGTCATAGATGTTCATACTCCATGATGACAATTGTATACTTATCATACTTTTGGGTGTTTATAAATTTGTCTCCAAAATTACAACCTTTATCAGCAAAATCTGCAGTATCCATACATATGAAAATCTTCTAATCTTAATGAATCACTAACTGGGAATAAAAAAAACAGAATATGCTGTTTCCTCAGTTGAAGTTCTTTATAATGTACTAGTGGCCTGGTGCACAAAATTTGTGCACATTAAAAGGGAATTAATTAGAGGAAACATTTTAATATTGCTATTTGCCCTTTATAATAGATGTTTCAGAGATGAAAGAATATTAGTAAAATGTATATGAAAATCTTTCTCTTGTCAGAGTCTGGTGTGTGCTGCGGGACCCAGAGTCAAGTCCCTGCCTAACCATGTGTGCCTCAGACCTGGGTGGTCACACCCCCATGAGGCAAGATCCAGACCTGTCAAACCCTGCCAGGCAGGGGGCAGGGAGGGCACAGCCTTAGGGCCCCTCATCAAGCCTGCCAGGTGGGGGGCTCAGCCTCAGGTCCCCCAGCCTGGGGCAGGGTGCATGACCTGAGGTCCACTGGCCTGGGCTGGGACAAGGGCATGCCTTGAGATCTCCATTAATCCCTGCAGGGCGGGGGGCACAGCCTTAGGTCCTCCAGCTTGGCACCAGGTTGGGGGGCACAGCTTGAGGTCCACCAGGCTGATGTAGTGGCGGGGGGCATGGTCTGAGGTCCACTGTCAAGCCCCACCAGGTAGAGGGTGCAGCCTCAGGTCCCTTGCTCCAGCCCAAACCCAAGTAGCCTCAGGTCCCTGCTGACTGCTCTTTAAGGATTGTTACAGAAACTCAGCCTCTACTGTGGGCGCAGCCATCTTGTGTTACTAAATCCCTACCTCCCCTGTGGGAGCAGCCATCTTGACAGTTACAGCATGATGGTCAATTTGAATATTCCCTCTTTTTTTAGATAAGATGAGAGTAACAAGAAGAATACAGAAGGTATTTTTGGCATTTACAGCAATTTAATAATGTACATTAGCCCATAAAGCTCTGAAAATTTATGGGAATCTACAGAATTCAGAAAAAAATAGGATCACATTTATCCTGCCTCATCTGTCTACAATTTGCTTCTAAGATTTTCAATGGGAAATTGTTTTCCAGATACCCTTTAGTATGTTAGATAAAGGAATGTATTGAATTATTTTAACCTTAGGGTCTAAAGAAACAAAAATTAAGAGTCAATGGGACAAAAGTGTTACTGTAGGAATATGTTCTTCTGTGGTGTTGTGTGAAAGGAATTTCAGGGACCCTAATGTAAAGAAGTTTTACACGATAATAGCAAGGCTTATTAAAGTGAAAAGCAAAGTACGCTCTCAGGAAGACAGAGAGCTGGCAGGCTAGAGGGCAGCTACTGCCCTGAAGTATTTGTTAAGCTTTCCCATATATATTTGGGTTTGGGAAAGAGCAGCCTTTCTTTAAAACTACCCATTTTATTACATGTCTTCTTCAGGGCTTGTGCCCTTCCCCTAGGCAATCTTTTCCCAGGTTTGTGCCCTCCCCCATTTATGGTCTGCCTTTTGGCTCTTTTTGCACTTGCTTCTTAGTTCTGCTTGGTTATTTGGCTTCTACCTCACAGGTACTTAGTATAGAAATTTTACATCTGTGCCATTTTTCTCCCATTTTGGTTAGTTGGGTGGACTATCCAGAGTGACTGTAAGGCTATTTTTTCCTATTTAATCATGCTTTATAAGATTCTGATTCCATTAGGTCCCTGGTCTCTTGTTAATATCTAAATGTGTACTCCAATAATAGTAGAAGGATGTGGTGTGGTTGGGTGTATATGTATATGTGTGTGTGTGTGTGTGTGTGTGTGTGTGTGTGTGTGTGTGTGTGTGTATGTGTGTTTGTGTGAGAAAGAAAGGGACAGAGAGATTTAGAAATGTAGTTTCACATAAATGGATCCGGTTGAGTGATAAATTGATATTTTTCCTTCAATTTTCTGGCTTATTAGGTCTAAGAACTCTGGTTGAGACTTATGTCACTGCCATCAATAGTGGAGCAGTGCCTTGTTTGGAGGACACAATGACAACTCTCGCTCAAATTGAGAACTCTAGGGCCGTTCAGAAGGCAGCCGACCACTATAGCAAGCAGATGGCCCAGAGAGTGAGTTGCCCCACAGACACCCTGCAGGAGCTGCTGGACCTGCATGCAGCCTGTGAGAGAGAAGCCATTGCAATCTTCATGGAGAACTCCTTCAAGGATGAAAACCAGGTGTTCCAGAAGAATCTTGTGGTACTTTGTCTTAGTATTTATTTACCCTTTGTGACCTTTCCATTGTAAATTAAGCCTATAAGAGTGTTTCTGACCCCAGTCCTCCTGCACTCATGGATCCAGTAGTCTGGATTCTTATGAAGAATAGATTTTCAAAAGACTGCATTTTCTTCTTCCTCTCCCCACCAAACCTCACTTTATGTAAAATTTTCTCTGGTCCCTGATGCATAATCAGTATAGATATCTTTCTGAACTGAATGCTTATGTTGAATTCAAGCCTCCCCTTAACACCCAAAAGTCATTCCTCAGCTAGTCACTTTCTTGAGGGACTCTCCTACTCTCAGGAACCAAATGTCTCTTAACAGATCCTCCATACTAGGCTATTTTCAATTCCTATGGCTCCTTGTTATATCATTGCATCATTGAAGATGGAATTACCAAAAGTTACAGCTGCATGAGCCATAGAGATGAGGGAATTCAACACCAACATTTTTTATGAGGAACCTGAGACACAGGAAAGTTGGAAGCTTTTCCCTGGCTTACATGGAATCACCTACCTTGTTGGTAAAGGAAGCCTTGTAATTCCTGTTTTATTCCATGTCCTTCTCCAACAGAATGCCTTTCTCATGAGGACTACAGCTAGACTTCCTTCCACCAGATTCTTTGCAATTTTTTCTCCTCTGTTCCTTTCTCCTGGTGACAGCCCTCTATACTTCCTTTGCAGGAAATCATAAAGCATAAGCAGGATGAGTTCTTGTTGCAGAATGAAGATGCATCTGTTAAATACTGTCAGGATACACTTAAGCAGCTTTCCAAGCCCCTAATGGAAGGTATTTCAGCAGGCATGTTCTCTGTTCCTGGTGGTCACAAGCTCTACATGGAAAGAAAGGAAAAGATTGAACAGGACTACTTACTTGGGCAAGTGCCCAAGAAAGGAGTAAAGGTGAGGAATAAGGGGAGCATAGGGATCCTACAGATTAAAGTCAAGAGAGTCTCTTGCAAGTCAGAGAGCACAGCATCAGTGTGGGTATCATGGGAGAATGGAGATATCATGACTCTTTTGGCATTGAAGGCCTACAATTTCATCTTCCTTTTTATAGAGAATCAAAATGCCCATTCTCAAAAATGAAAATAGATTTCTGAAATCCACAAGAGACACAAGAGAAATAATCATTTTCATCCAACAATATTATATTCAGTGTGTCAAAGGCAGACAATTTAGAAGTTGAAGTCAGAGCCTTTGTACTTAAGGCTGATGAAAAGAGAAAAGGAAGTCAAACGCGTAGTCAGTTGCTCACAGGCTTATCATACCTATGAACCTGAGATAATTGGCTATACAGTGTTGGTACAATAACATTAAATAACAATGCAATTAATATTTATTGAACTTTTACTGTTAAGACACAGTATTGAGCTCTTTCCTTAGAATTTTAATTTTATCCTTTATATAGCATTAGGGAGCATCTATAATTTTTTAAATATTTTACACAAGTGAACTGAGAGGCAGAGATGGTTTAAAACGACTTGCCTAGAGTTAAAGTCAGCAAGTGGCAGCGGAGAACAGGAGTACTAATTGGAGACAACATTGCTCCCTGGTAAGCAAATATACAAAAGCAGAGACAGTGGGTTTGTAGAACTGAACGTGGTTCTTACTGTCTGGAACTCAGAGCAAAGAATAGAAAGTAACACTGGGAAAGAGACTGCAGGGAGTATAAAGAGCCCCTGTTGCTCTAAGGAGCTTGAAAACTGTGTGGAATCATGATGCAATTTTAACCTGGAAGAAAAAATTACATGGACATAGTTCGTTTTGCAGCACTGTTTTTCCCAGTGAAAATCAAAGTTTGTTCCTTCTTCTCTCTTCAGGCAAATGAAGTTCTTTGTAGGTTCCTGCAGTGGCAGGCAGCAACAGAGAATTCCATCCTGCAGGGAGACAAAGTGCTCACAGATGAGATGAAAGCCATGGCAGGTAAGTGGCAGGACTGGGCTCACAATGGGTGGCAGGTACCTGCAGTGTCCTTTGACAGCTGTGAGAACAAAACCTCCTGAAACAAGGAGCTTTCTGTCCTTCTGTGGGACATACTCTCTAACTCTGAAAACACCAGGGCACCTCAGCCAGTCAGGGCCTTTCCCCCCACACTTCGAAATGTGCTCCTGTTGGTGTGGGAAAGGGAGCATTTCAGATTCTTCCACTTCCCCTTCCAGTTTGGCTTGTTCTCAGAGCTCAGGAGGGTAGAGATCAGTCCTCACCATTTTTTTTTCCCCTCTCTCAAACTTCCCTGGGGCATTGGAGCAGACCAAGAAAGAGGCAGCTGAGAAAGAACAGGAGCTGATGAAACAGAAACTGCAGGAGCAGGAGCAGCAAATGGAGGCAGATAGGAGGAGTCGTCCTGAAAATATATTGCAACTGATGAAGAAGATAGAGAAGAATATAGAGAATATAATAAAAGAGAAGAATATGATGTTGGGGCATAAATTGAAGGTAAGTCCTGCCATGGCCTCAGTAGTGTTTCATGGTCATTGTCCTAGTACATCACGTGGGATGGAGAATGTTACATCAAGACCATTGAAGCATACCATTGCCATTTACTACTTGTGATTTGCTAAAGCCTTGAATCTTCCTTGTCCCCTTTCTTTGTAAAAAAATCTTTGAAATCTCTGCATAGACTCTAGAGTGGTCAGGACAAGCATCTCATCTCTGAACACTTGTGGAATATAAGTAGGGTTTGAGGTGATGTTTTAGGCTATTTAAAGGTGATATTATTTGGCTTGGATAAATAGATATTAGAAATATATATATTTATTATTACCACCAACTGGTTTGCTTTATCAAGATTATTGCTTATTATCAGGAACCCTACTACCACCCAAACACTCTAAGGTAGAGCTATACTGACAATAAACTATCATAAATTTCCAGATTAAAAAATCAAACCTGCTGAGTTGTTCCCAGGTATGGAGATTCTACCCAAGTTATCATATGGCAAAGGAAGAATTCCTAATTGGCTATCTGTACATGTTTATAATAGGGTTCCAGAACATGTATAATTTCCCATGTTTTTCTGCATTTTGGTTGGCCATATTATTCCAAGTGGGACTGAAAATTAGTACTAGCAGATTAAGTTTACTTCTCAACTGGTATTATGACCGGCACATAGTATATTTGTCCTCAGGCCAGGCTTAGTATTCTAGCAAAACCCAATAGGTATGTGAATATTTGTAAGACTATAAACATGCTTTCTTTCTGTGTTTAGGTCCAAGACAGGATTATTTCTTGTTGAAAAATTATCTTTGTGTAAGAGAGAACAATTTTAAGAGTAGAAGGGAAAAATTCTTAAATATAAAATGTAATCTTTTGAAAAACATAGGAATTTAAAACATTTTACTTCTCTCCTCAACTTTTTTTTTTTTTTTAGGTTCAAGAAGATTTGCTTAGAGAAGGATTTAAAAAGAAATATGAAGATATGAATGTAGAGATCAATCATTTGAGAAATATAATTGATAGTAGTAATAGTGACAATATTCCCTATATTACAATAATCATGGAAGCACTTGCCAGTGAGATTGATTCAATATTTTGTAGATCTGGTAAATTTTTTGGTAATGTTTTGAGAAGCTTTGACTCATTATTTAAAGATAAATAATTCTTTGAAATACAGTATACAATATGCATATATGTTATGGCTTGTTTTTGGTGTGTATTCCTTTTGTTTTCATTCATCTAAGCCTTAAACATGAAAAGTGCCTACTAATGAATAGCAATGTCTTGCCCTCATAAGATAGGATAAATGTTCATATGCTTTGATATAGCATGCTTACTTAAATATATATGTTTAAATAAATATACTTACAATTAATCAAGTTATCCCTTTAAATGGCAAAAGATTGGAAACTACTAATAAATTCAACTATATGAATTGGTAATGAAAATTTAACCTTTGCAAATGGTGGAATATTATGCAGCCAGTAAATAGAGAATTTAGCTCTATTTTTATAAATATTCAACAATCTTGAAAATACATTGTAAAATGAGGTACATGAGAAGTGTATAATGTGTTTACAGGAAAAAATGTAAGTACTGTGTGCAAGCATATGTATGTGGGCACATTGAATATCTAGAGCACATGTGTCAAACACAAGGCCCGCGGGCCAAATCCGTAGCGCCAGGCCTTGCAATGTGGCCCGCACCTCGCTGTCATCACTGCACTCCACTGCATTTCCATCACAATGACAGTTTATGACTGTTCAGTAAACCATTCAGCCCGCGACTTAGGCTGGATTTTAGATTTTGGCCCCTTCTCTGATTGAGTTCGACACCCCTAATCTAGAGGAACCCTTAAAGAAGTAATATCAGTTCTTACTTGGAAGAAGTGGGTGGGGTCAGGGTAAACAAGTCACATGCTTTTAATTATATACTCTTTCTTTTGAATCCTGTAAAGAAATTTTATAAATAAATAAATAACAAAGAAAATGTAAAGTGTAATACTAATAAAAAGGCTAATATGCTAAATACCATTCATTTGACAGGTCATACACTGACCACCAGGGGGCAGATGCTTCTACTGGTAGGTTAGCTTGCTTCTGGGGTCTGGCAATTGGGATTGGAGCCCTCCTGTGGTCCCTCCTGTGGTCCCTCCCCAGCACCAATCATGCACCAGTTGGGTCCCTCGACATGGACTGTGCCTTCTTGCAATCCGAGATCCCTGGAGGGATGTTGGAAAGCCTGTTTCAACCCGATTCCTTCAAGCCAGGCCAAGGGACCCCCACTGGTGCACAAATCCATGCACCGGGCCTCTAGTAAGGATCATAATGACAAGAAAATGTAAAAAATGGCTATTGAATCATGAAAGTTCTCACTGCTTTTAGAAATGATACCAGCCTGTACAATTAGGAGTTTCAGATTAAATTAAAGAATAGAAAGTATAAAATTTGCATCCTCATCTTGTTTCCTTTTAGACATGGTTCTCAATTCATTATATTTGTTTCAAAACTAAGATATACACTTTCCTATCTCTCTTGGGATACAACTAAAAAAAAAAAAAAAAAAAAAAAAAAAGAAAGAATATAAAAAAATTTCAGATAGAGGAGTTTCTATTTCCTATTCTGAATTATACTTTTCAGCTATTAGAAGCAAATTACCAAACATTAGAACATGCACTGGTGAGAGAGATCTTATCATTCTCAAAAGTGCAATGGTGGCCTCTATGCTATAAGCAAGAGCCAAAGAAACATGTGCCATTGCAGAACTGGATGGCCTGCTGGTGTTGAGAATGATAAGCCTTGACACATGGAGACCAGTGGTGGCACTGAAATACCCAAAGCCAAGCACATACAATGATAGTAGTCAATATCATGGCTTGTCTTAGCTCAAGCTGCTGCACAAAGTTACCATATACTGTGTGTCTTATAAATCAAGTATTTATTTCTGGAGGCTGCTAGTTCCAGATCAGCATGCTAGCATTGGGAGTTTCTTGATCAGAATTCTCTTCCTGATTTGCTGAGGGCTGCTTTCTTGTTGTGTCTTCACATGGTGGGAAGGGTTGGGAGGAGTTCTCATGATTTTTATTATAAGGTTAGTCAAACAATAGTGCAAGAGAGAGGATGTAAGGTAGTGAAATATCATTTTAACCTAGATGTATGGCAGGAAAAAATAACTTTAAAAATGGGTGCAAAATTTATATTTGGAGGAGAGTTTTTCTTGAATAAGTCAAGAAAGTTCTAATTTTGTTTTAGTTCAGGCAAAAATAAAAATAGCTTAACTATAAAGTCGGCAGTACAGTAGTAAATGCAGATTCAAAACAGCAGTGGATATGATTACAATAAATATTAATCTAATAAAAACATTAAAATAATGTATTCTTTATTAAAGAGAGGAGATAAAATAATTCAGGAAAAGTCTGGATATAGATCAAGTATTATAATAGAAGCCCCTTGAGTTGTTTTGAGGATAATAAGTTGAGTAATTTTGAGTTTCATGATTTAAGTCTAAATATTGCCTTTTATATCATAATCAATTAAAGAACAGAAAAATTTTAATTTCTATATTGGGACACATAAAAATGATTTTCACACATCACAGTAAATAAAAAATATAACATGAAAAATGTCAAGTAAAGTTAGAAAATATTTTTAGAAAGAAATAGTGACAGAAAACTTCCCCCACCTGGTGAAAGAATTAGACCTACAAGTCCAGGAAGCGCACAGAACCCCAAACAAAAGGAATCCAAAGAGGACCACATCAAGACACATCAAAATTAAAATTCCAACAGCAAAAGACAAAGAGAATATTAAAAGCAGCAAGAGAGAGAGAGAGAAACAGGAGCACCCATACGATTGTCAGCTGATTTCTCTACAGAAACCATGCAGGCCAGACGGGAATGGCAAGAAATATTCAAAGTGATGAATAGCAAGAACCTACAGCCAAAAATACTCTACTCAGCAAAGCTATCACTCAGAATCGAAGGCCAGATAAAGAACTTCACTAAAAACAAAAACAAAAACAAAACAAAAGAACATAAAGGAGTTCATTAATGCCAAACCAGAATTATATGAATTGCTGAAGGGGGTTCTTTCGGAAGAGAAAGAAAATAAAGATAAAAATTATGAACAACAAATATGTAACTATCAACAAGTGAATCTAAAAACCAAGGGAATTAAAAAACCTGATGAACAATATTAACTGTTTAATATAATAGAATCAGAGGTATGGAAGGGGAGTGGACTGATGATTCTCAGGGAAAAGAGGAATGGGGGTTGTGGGAAGAGACTGAACATGAACTGTGCACCTATGGATGAGGATAATAGGGGGTGGGGAAAGGACAGAGGATGGGGTAGGAACCTCGTGGAGGGGAAAAAAATGAGGAACTTTTGTAATAATATGAACAATAAAGGTTTATTTTAAAAAATTGACAGAGACATTAAAGTAAATAGAAAATATTTTTAAAAGATGAACAAATTTGGCCTAATGTATGAATGTAGAACCCTATACCCAACAATAGTAGAATATGCTTTTTTGTAAAGCACACTAAGAAACGTCACATGAATTTTACCTGTACAAAACCACAAAGCATGGTTAGTTGTCTTATGTCAGATTTCTCTAGATGTAGACGCACATGTGTCAAACACAAGGCCCGCGGGCCAAATCCGTCCCGCCAGGCCTTGCAATGTGGCCCGCACCGCGCTGTCATCACTGCACTCCGCTGTGTTTCCATCACAATGACAGTTTATGACTGTTCAGTAAACCATTCGGTCCTCGATTTAGGCTGGATTTTAGATTTTGGCCCCTTCTCTGATTGAGTTCGACACCCCTAATGTAGAGCCTTGGTGATGGGTTTGTGTTCATGTGATTTATGAGGGTGTGCTTTCAACAGAAGGGATCTAAGGGAAGCGGGAGAGGGCAAGAAAATAGGAATGAAAAGAGGCTATGGTTGCAGGCAAAAAATGGCTTCAAGCTGATCCACTGGGATTTCTGTAGCACAAATAGCATGAGAATTTGTCCCTCCTTGAAGCAAACTGCTAGACATTTGTACCCCATCAGGCATTATCTGGGGGCTATCCATCTTTACCAGAGCAGCTACCATGCTGTTAAGGAAAATTCTCCAAAGAAAAGAACAGCTGTGAGCTTTTTAGCAATGAACATGCACAGCAATAGAAGGATGGATGCAAAGCCTTGTAAGATGATCAAACTGAGGCACTAATAGCAAACAGCACCAGTATAAAGATTAGTATTTGCATACCTACGTTGTGCCATGATCTATGTATGCCTACTTACCATCCCACACTAATGGGGTTCCTGTCAATTATCTAGATTTAGAATCCCTTTGCAGAAATTTAATTTTCAGAGTCCTCTGGGTACAATTTACTACTAACCAAAATCCCTAGAAAGCAAATACTGGGATGGAAATTTGCATGTAAATTGTTTATTAGGGAAAACTCCAAGGATAAGCACTTATAATAGTATGTGGAAGGAAAGGGGTCTGGGTAGAAAGGGAAGTTTAGCTATAGTTTTAACAGTTGCTTCATCCATTTCAATGGAGAAGTCTGGACTTTAGTAATCCATCTCATTTCCCCAGTTTTTAAGACATTAGTCAGAATAATGAACATCCTAGGAAGGGCTGACTTTAGGCAAACTGACTAATCAGAAGAGAGTTGAAAACATGTGTTTGCAGGAGAGCTTGCATTTCAAAACAAAGGAATCTAAGAAGGTTAGGGGACATGGGAGAGGTGAAAAGTCGTGAGAACACTGGAAATATACTTCATTGAAGTTCAAGAGAATTTGTGTAGGAATTGTGGAAGAAGGGCTCACAATACAAAAATGAAACTGATGGGCAAAGAATTCAATTTGTAATGGCAATTTTTCTTTTTTTTTAAATAAATTTTTATTGTTCATATTATTACGAAGGTTCCTTATTCCCCGCCCCCCCCTTGCTCTCCTCCACCAGGTTCCCACCCCACCCTCTGCCCTTTCCCCACCCCCATCGTCCTCATCCATAGGTGCACAGTTTGTGTTCAGTCTCTTCCCACAACCCCCTCTCCCCTTTTCCTCAAGAATCATCAGTTCACTCCCCTTTCATGCCTCTGATTCCATTATATTCAACAGTTAATATTGTTCATCAGATTTTTTTTTTAATTTCCTTGGTTTTTTTAGATTCACTTGACAGTTACTTATTTGTTGTT